CCAAACTGGCTACCTCACCCACGATAATTGATCCAAACATAATGTCATGGGAGCCTACCAAGGCCGCTCGAACACCTGAGGAAAAAGAGACCCCTCATCAAGGGGACAGCACACCTAATCGTCCGCAACTGACATACCTAATTAAAGCTTGCGGAGTGCTTGTGGTTATAATCGCCATTCTGACAGCCAAATATACCTTTTTGTATTTACGTAAAGAAAATACACGCACATACGCATCGAACGAAGGCTCTTCCCAACCCCGTACCAGTCGAGTGCTCTTCTGGGAGGATACCCCTGTGGCCTCCAACGCTAGGGTTGATGCCGGCTGGATCGAACGATTAACTCTATCCTCGGAAATTCAAAATCAAGACCTAGCAACCCATGCATGCGAAGCAGCCAGCGATATAAATGCTGAATTATCTGCTATAACAGATTCACTGCTTCATCTCGAACACCGCCTGGATCAATGGACGACGCTGCCGCGACGAACCTCATAGGGCTCATCAAGCTCGCCGTCGCCGCAAAAGAAAACGTAAAGCTGCGGCTCCACTCTTAAGAATGAGAGTGTCGCGTCCGACGCATACGCATAAGCTCAATACCTTATATTTCCTTTTTTTTTTCTCTTTCTTTCGAATACGTTTCCGTTTCTCTTTCTTTTCCCCTTTTTACAATACGCTCAAACACGTATATTATATACGTTTGGTATTATATAAAGCAATGGTTTGATGTTGTAATATCGGTTTGATATTGTATTGTACATTTCATATTACATAAAGTAATAGTTTAATATCATAATATCAGTCCGATATTATGTTATACATTCAATATTATATAAAATAATAGTTTGGCGTTGTTGTATTCGTTGATATTATGTTATACATTTGATATTATATAAAATAATAGTTTAATATTATAATATCAGTTTAACATTGTGTTATGCATTTGATATTATATAAAATAATAGTTTAGCGTCATAATATCAGTTTGATATTGTGTTATACATTTGATATTATATAAAGTAATAATTTAATATTATAATATCAGTTTGATATTGAGTTATACATTTAATATTATATAAAATAATAGGTTAATATTACAATGATAGATTTATATTATATAATCTTCATTTAAAGTCTATGATTGCGAGAGACGATCAAGCGTGATTCACGTGCTCCGCGCGCGCTCACGTACGGTGCGCGTGGACGGACAATGGGACTTCTCGGAAAACGCGAATTCGGGAATCGAACTACGGATCAAAGGGCAATCCACCACTTTCTAATTTTCCGAGAATTTCCATTTCCCCTCGCCCTTTTGCCACCAACCTACCAGTATATAAGAGCGCCGATTTTGACGATACTTCGCTCATTATCGTATCGCGCTGCCCTCGGCGACGATACACCAGGGACAAGAGCGTCGCTATAAGCGCAACTCATCATTAAAGGTTTATTAGTAGAATCTTCTTTTTCTCTTTATAACGCCCTATCATAGTAGCACTCTTATTTCTTTTTCGGTCAGTTACTATCCACACTTCCTTAAATCGCGCTTGTCAAAGGCGTATGTCCTCCTTCACCCTTGTTGCATTATCGTCTCGGACAGGTGTAATCCCACCTTCCACATTCCTTAAATCGCGCTTGCCAAAGGCGTATGACCCTTCCTACTCTCTGTAATATTGTCTTTTCGGCCAGGTGTACTCCCACCTTCCACGTTCCCTAAATCGCGCTTGCCAAAGGCGTATGCCCCTTCTCACTTTTATTATATTACCTTTCCTATCACATATATATATATCTCGCTCTTATTACGTTATCCTTTTGGTCACGCACATATATATATATATGTGTGTATATATATATATACATTGTCACGTGCTTCCGTGAGATCAGTAATTCGCACGAGCACGGATTAAAACGATAAGCGGAAATCGCGTAGAATTTCGGGAGGGGATTTCGTCCCTCCGGCGATCGACAAGGAGCAGCCACGCGAAATGTTGGGCGCCAGACGTGCTCGGCGGCACGTCATTCGCGAAACGCGAATTTTCGGCAATAGCGCGACCAACGAAAGCGATTGCTCACAACGATAACCGAGGTCCACGACCGAGCGCTGCTCCCCGAGGTCGATCACGCGAGGGCCGGCCGGCTCTACCTAACGGTAGAGGGGCAGGGCGGAACTAAGGGCGGACTAGGCGACGGACGGCAGGATGATGCTGGCCGGGCGAAAGAATCTATACGCGGTATTAAAGAGTAATGATAACGACACCGTTTATTAACCGCGTAGCAAAGCGGTAAGAAGCCAAAGAAATGATACAATGCGGTAATATAAAAAAAAAAGGAAAGTAACGGAAAAGAAAAATGACTTGTTTGGCGATGTTAAACGCCGATAACTCAGCGGCACGATAAATTTCGACGTGACAAAAGGAAAAAGAAAAGAGACAGTTCAATAGATTCGGTCGGTCAATGAGAACACAATTAAAGTCAGAAACGGTGCGATAGTACAATGAAAAACGGAGCTCGGCACGACGCGAGTATCGAAATCTAACGACAGTACACAATAACGATTTTAAATTCACACGCCGGACGCATCGACGGCGCCTCGCGCCCGCGCGAGGTCGCTCTATATCCGGGATGTGGCGGCGTGGTATTAGATGGGCGCGTCCTTCGCCCTTGAATTCCGGAACGAGTTGGCTATCTCGCCCCGGCAGCTCTCGGCGATGGCCCCGGGCCCTGGGGAAATCGCCGGCCGTATCGCCCTTCGCGGACCTCAGCCACAGCGCCCGCCTTCCCGGTTGCGCCCCTGGCGGCTTTGGTATCCTTGCGCGCGGTCACGCGCTCCGCGTGTGCACGCTCTGTCACCTGCTCGCCGCGTGCCCGGTGCGTGTCCCCTTTGCTCCGGCGCCAGGTCGCCCGTACTCTAACTCCCTTCCGCTGTCGATGGCCTTGAGTCCTCTCCGCTGATGCTCCGTTGGTCCGGTGAGGTGCCGCGGTACATATAAGAGGTTCAACAAAAATTAATAAAAAGTACGCGTTTAAATTCGGGCCTCCCGGAGATCTCGGTCTCGCTCTCACGATGCGACTGTCGGTCCGGCAAAAAGGGGGCGCGAACCCGCGCCTTGTGACGGCGGCGGGACGCTGCTCCGCTGCAGCGGACTGCGGCGTCACAACATATATATATATATTGTCACGCGCTCCCGCGAGCTAAGTACCTCACACGAGCACGGATCAAACAATGAGGTGGAAATCGCGTACGATTCCGGGGTGGCAGCCCTCCAGGATGTGTCCCTCCGGCGACCGACGAGGAGCGGTGACACGAAAAATGGGCGCCAGACGTGCTCTAGGCCACGTCACTCGCGAAACGGCCGATTACGCGATAGCGCGAACGAAATCTATACGCGCGACAACACTCGATCATCAAACGCCGCTCCCGGAGTCGATTGCCCGAGGACCGGCCGGCTCTACCTAACGGCAGAGGGGCAGGGCGAGGCCAAAGGGCGATAGGATGGCGCGGGGCGGGCGAAAGAACTCGTACTCCAAATTATTAACAATAACAAATAATAGTCAGGTTTATTGGCCGCCTGGAAAGGCGGTAAGAACCGGCGGAGAAAGAAAAGAAAAGATAACACAGTTTGGTAGAAAAATACGGACGTGACGCGACTGATGCGGCGCTCATAAGCGCGAATAATCCGCCGGCACGAGGAATTCCCGCGTATAAAGAAAAAGACAAGAAATAGGCATGAAATTCGGCCGGAAACAAAAAGAAACGCATTCAACACTAGTCGGCGCGACTGTACAATAACGGACGGGACTCGGTACGACGCGTGTACCGAGGTCTAACGACCATAAGTATTTCCGCGACAGTTGTAAGTTTACGCGTCGGACACTCGTACGAAAGCGAAGCAGACAGAAAATTAACTCACACCGACACGCAATGAAATCGCGCAATGCCACACTCCAGCGCGACGCGCGACACTCGTGATTCCGCGTACTCACACACACTTACTCTAACGCTCGCGCGCTCGGGCGCGAGGGCTTTGCGGCGAACTCGCGACGACGATCTCCGGGTGACTCGATACGCGACTCGCGACACTCCCGATCGCTCACAGCAGATTCGATGAGAATCCTCGTATTTGAGGACGGACGCCGGTACGCCAAACCAAAGAGCACTGCAAGATACGCGTCGCCAAAGGGGCGCACGCGACGAAACTCTAACACGAAAATGGCGTTCACGTCCGCAGAGTGCGAGCAGATTCTCGATCAGCTCGTGCCTTTACACGCGCTAAAGAAGGTCACCTCACCGGCACGATCCTCGTTTCAGCTTCCTGGGTGGCAGATCCGGCCAACAGCTGTTCGTCCCTCTCGGTCTCGCTGACGTACTCTCTCGCTCTTTCTCTCTTTTGCTCGCTCTCGATCGCTTACGCCGGATCGACCGCACGCTCTCCCAGTCCGCACGCAAAAGCGGCGTAGATCGCGTTCAATTCGCGATCGATGCCTGCACTCCCTGCCCGGGGGTGCGCAACACAGCGGCGCAGTCGGCCGCGACCAATCACGGCGCCGCGGGGGGTCCCGCCGTGGCACGGGCGCGATCAGGTGATTCTGCATGCGGGCGCCTCGCGCCCGCGCGAGGTCGCCCTATATCCGGGACGTGGCGGCGTGGAATCAGATGGGCGCGTCCTTCGCCCTTGAATTCCGGGGCGAGTTGGCTCTCTCGCCCCGGCAGCTCTCGGCGGTGTCCTCGAGCCCTGGGGAAATCGCTGGCCGTATTGCCCTTCGCGGGTCCTCAGCCACAGCGCCCGCCTTCCCGGTCGCGCCCCTGGCGGCTTGGGTATCCTTGCGCGTGTTCCCGCGCTCTGTCACCTGCTCGCCGCGTGCCCGGTGCGTGTCCCCTTTGCTCCGGCGCCAGGTCGCCCGTACTCCAACTCCCGTCCGCTGTCGTTGGCCTTGAGTCCTCTCCGCTGACGCT